CAGAGCAATGTTCTCAGGGGCCGGGCGGCTCCTCCCGCGGCCGCCACCGCCGGGGGCTCGGGCACCGCGGGCAGCGCCGCTGGAGCCCCGCCGAGGAGCCCGCGGCGCTCCCCGGCCCCATCCCCGGCCGCCCCGGCGAGGGGAAGGCTGCGACAGCCGCCCACCGGTTCCCGCTGCCCGCTGTGGACCCTGGCACGTCTTCCGTGCCCCACAGCCCGCACCGTGCCCGGTGTGCCTCTCCCGACACGGGACGGTGCCCAGCAGCTTCGTTTCCCTCTGCACCTGGCGCCCACACGCTGATGAGGGATGCTGTCCAGCGCGCTGATCCACCCTCAGCGGGAACCCCAAATAGGTGCCCCGTTTAGAACCCCGAACTACGCCCTGTTTCTGGAAGGCCTGTGCCTCTCCAGCCTGGAGAGAACAGCCAGGCTCGACCTCTGCACCTGGCGGTGGCTTCCTGCTCCCCAGGGCACGGACACCCCCACTGTCCCCCCACCTCGGCTTTCCACACATCCCATCCATACATCTTTGTAATTCCCGCTGCTGGAAGGCAGCTCCATCCGTGACCACCCTCCCGGCCATCCCCCTCCGACTCCCACGGGCCGGCATTTTCAGGGCACATGAAAAAGGGAAACCCGAACGTGTCCGTGGCGAGGGAGGATGCTCGGAGGTGAGCAGGCGGGCGGGCAGGGCTCCCCCTCCCTTCCTGCTGCCGCAGGCTCCGCTCTCTCCCGCTCCCTTCCAGCGGCTCCCAACAGATCCCTCTGGAAGAGCAGCCCAGCGGGAGAGAATGTTATGTACAGAGTGGTTTTGCAGTATGTTATCCCATCCCCACACACAGGGAAACGCTTGAAAGTTGCAATAACTGGTCCATAGGCTGGCAGAGAGCTGGGACAGGGCTGGTAGAGTCAGTTTGCTAGCAAATCTCCAAGAGAAATTGCCTTTTTTTGGTTTTTTTTTCTTTTCTTTTCTTAGAAAAAGCCCTCCTGACTGACTCCGAAGGCTTATTTCCAACATGCACCCTTCAGGACTCTCTGGAGCTGGAAAACTGAGCTAAATAAATGCTGAGTTCTTCCTCCAGTGTCTTTCATTGCAAGAGTGGGGCCAATTCCTGCCAAATTCAGGGAGCGGGGAGGCGGGCTGGGGTTTCGAGGGAATGCCAGCTCCAGGAATCAAGTGATTATGTAAAATTCTCAGCTCTCATTTAAATTAAAAACAAGATTTTGGCTGTCATGGTGGTGGAAAAAATTGATTTAAGGATAAAAATTGACTTGAGCACAAAAACTACTTCACATTTATTATTATTTTTCGAACTGTGTGATTTTTTTGTGGAGAACCAGCATCGATCCTTTTGCATTTAGCAGCGAAGCAGGTTGGCTTCAGGAGTTCTCCACCAGGGAAGCTGCTCCGAGGGCTCCCAGTCAAAGGCATAATAGAGATGTCTAATATTTTGCATTAAAACTTTGAATATCTGAGCTCCACGGATCTGTGCCCTTCCTGATTTACACATCCCCTGAAAGGACTGGTTTTCCTGTCTCCCTGTTTCAGCAAATACTGAACTGACATGTCACATTATTAGAGCTTCATTATTTTTGTAAAACCTTCCCAAGTAGAATGACTGGTATATTACGAAGTATAAATAATTAAAATAATAGAGATGTCAAAATAATGGAACAAAGTGTATTTTATGATGCATTATTCTGGCTTGTTTATCCACAAAGTCAGTATTTAGTAAGCAGCCTCTGAGTCATTAGCAAGGTTTGACTGTATTATTATCTTTATTAATTATCATAATTATTAAATTTCTTATATTGTGGAGTCATTGCTAGTGGCTTTGCAGTTAAGGTGGAATTTACTTTCCCACTAAAAGCAGGATTTAATTCTGTTGTTTTGTACAAAAAATGAACACATTTCATCACCAAACGTGCAGCACCTCCCCGGCAGATACAACCCAATTTATCTGCAGTGCCTGAGCCACCCCATTGCTCCCTTTCAGACCCTCTCAAAGCTCATTTTTTCCCCAATGAAGCTCTGTTTTCTCAGATTTACACAGCTCAGCCCTGTCCAACTTTGCACGTTCATCTGCCTCCGTTAGACCTCGAACAGAGACTGATCTGAGACACCCGGCATCACAGAGAGTTATTGCTATTAATAGCGAATGCTTATATTTATTTATTTATCTATTTATTTATTTATTTGCATGTATGTACACATATGTATGCCAAGGGAAGCTGGCAGAGGGAATGCTCCTCATCAGAGCAATGTTCTCACAGCTCACCTCATGTCTCCAGTGCTTCTCCTCCTCAGAGTGTCAGAAGAAGACAAGCCAGCGGAGCTGAGCCTCACCCCCAGCCAGGACCTGGGTGGCCATGGGTGCCTGCACGGTCCCTCCATGGTTCTCTGCCCCTGCCCAGCCTCACCATGCATGCAGGAAGCCTCCAGCTTGTGCCTGCTGCTGAATCCTCCTTCAGCTGTTTTCCCCCGTGTTTCAAAGTGTTTTGTCCTGTGGCACCTTGCTGTTGAGCAGATGTGGGTCTGCCAGGGGATGCAGATTTGTGTGAACTCCTGCTCTCCTCCAGCACCTCTCCATGGAGGATCAACAGTGCACCATGGAATGGTCCCAGGGCTGGAGCCCCTCTGCTCTGGAGCCAGGCTGGGAGAGCTGCAGGTGTCCAGCCTGGAGAAAAGAAGGCTCCAGGGAGACTTTAGGTCCCCTTCCCATGCTGAAGGGAGCCTGGAAGAAAGATTGGGACAGATCTATTTTCAGATGTCCTTGCTGTGATACCACAACAGGTCAAGACTTTGGGTTTTGCCCAGGCGTCCACAGGTGACAGGAGTGCTCTGGGATGGCTGAAGGGAGCCAGCAGTACCACTGGAGCTGCAGGATCCCCAGCAGGGCTGAGCCAAGCAGCCAAACAGCCTGCAAACCTCGGGATCTTTTCCTTTCTTGCCCCCAAAACCCCAGAATGTTTGCAGTTGCTTTGGCCGGGCAGCTGAATGAGGAGCTCCCAACATGACAACTCACATTTCATGGCTAACATTAGCTCTGTAACAGGAACAGCAGAGTGTGATTATCTCAGCAATCCCATTTAAGCCACACGGACTCCTCACAAAGAAGGGAAAACTCTACAGTGAGTATTTCTAAATATTAGGCTAAACCTGAACAATCATCATTTCAAAGGCACCTTTCAGAAGCAGGAAAAAGCCTCCGAATCTATCAGTTTCATTATTTGTTTCAAAGTAGTCCTCCTCCTTTCAACAAACCATCTAAAAAGCCTGCTGAACAATTTTTAAAATAATTTAGCACAGTGCAGTTTATTACTTTAAAATACTGATATAATTTTCCCCACTGTATTATGCAGCTATATTTTGACATTTTAGTCTTATCCCCAGTTTATGTCTGAGAATGATTTAATTCAGAGCTACACTCCTCATTCCCACTTGGAAGTAGAGGGATCTCTAAATATTCAGTAGTTTCAGTGGTCATAAAAAATGCTGAACAAATGGATAAAGCCAATTGCCAATAAACACAATGCAAATGTGTACATTTAAATGCAGTGAAATTGGATTAATTAAATCCACATTGCATCTGGATTTACATGTAATACAAACGAAAATTAAATGCAGCTCAAGAGCTTCCTGTGACTTTAAAATGGGGCTGATTGAAAACACCATCATTTACCTGTGTGGGCTCTGAGTCAGGAACTGTGCTGGTAAATAGAAACATTCACAATCTAGATAAGCCAGATCTGACCCACAAATCAAGGTTATGAATTTGGCATTTCATGTAGTTTAAAATCTAATGTAAAATTGCATCTCTCTGCTAACAAAACAGATGGTATTAGGCCTTCTTTTTGGCATTGGGTTTTGGTACCTGTCCAAAAAATCTTCTTGACATCCTTTAAATGCAGCTATTTAACCACCTGTCACTTTGCTTTAGATGCCCATTGAATTTCTGACAGGAAAAACATTATTTTGTCTACACGTTATTTCATGACACAAGAAACGTAGCACATATACAGCAAAGTTTACACATTGTGTGAAAATCTCTTTGAAAAAAAAGAAGAGAGTTGTTACATGCTACTAAGGCAATTACTCCATAATTAATGTCATTGATAGGATAAAACATTCCAGAAACCCAAATACAACAAAACAAAACAAGCTCAAACATGACAGGGAAGTATTAAGGACACTCACAACATCAACTGACAATTTTCTTCTGCCTGAGTGAAAACATCTCACCTTTGGTCAAACACCAACCTGGCTGTGCATATAAGCAAATAATTTCTCCTCCCCCCCCCCCCCCCCAAAAAAAAATCTTCATTAGCAGGAATATGCTAAAGTCAAAAGGTCCCAATACTGTAAAATATATCAGCAAGTTTCTTCTCGTGTTCAGGAGGATACAAGTGCTTGATGCGTCAAACCTTGGAATCATTCTTCATAGAATCATGGAATGGTTTGGGTTGGAAAAGACCTTATTTCACCCCCTGCCACGGGCAGGGACACCTTCCATCATCCCAGGTTGCTCCAAGCCCTGTCCAGCCTGGCCTTGGACACTCCCAGGGATGGGCAAGGCTCCTCCTGACCGTCAGGATCTTCTCAAAATCATGTGTATTCACTTCTGCTGCCCAGAGGTTTCAACACATGAGTCCAGGGAGAACCTTGTCCTTAACCTCACCTCCTTAAACCCATACCCAGAGCCATTCCTGATTTTTCAAAGCCTCCCAGATGTGCAGAAAATGAATTTACTTGCCAGCAGCAGCCTTGGGAGGCAGCTGCAGGTGGCTTCCTTGAAAGCCTGACCTTGGGCTCTGTGCTCACACGTGTCCTGAGTTTGCATTTGGCT